AGTTTTCGTGTGTTATGGATAATGTTTGATGCTCATCACAAGTGTGGGTGACTTACAATTGCTTCATGCAGTGCTCTCACACCATTGTAGAGGCTTATTGCATTTGCTGATCACTTAATCATTAATCATTGTCATGATTTTCACAAACGTTTCACTTTGACTTATTGCGGTGTTCATCGTGAATAGGAGCCTCATATAGTTACAATTCAGGGTTCTTATCATGAATTCTATGGTATTAAGATACATATACTTACACAAAGAGATAAATATAGAGAGAAACAAGCATTTGAAATTTAAATGTACAACAACCAAATGATAGGATAAGATTGCATGGATCATGTTGGGTGTGATCTATCCATTTGTTAGTTGTTTGGTTATCTCCAACACTTGATGCTTAATATCATAAAGTAAAATATAAAAACCATTTCTAAATTGTCAAAACATGAGGTTTTCTAAAGGCTAATTAAGAGTGTTCTCCTATTGAGAGTAGTGTTCTCCCTCTCCTCAATATGAGTGTTTTGCTTTTTTCTCTTTTTTCCTATAAAATGTGAAATCATTAAAAGAACAAGTTAAAATCATTTTCTTGAGTTTATATCTACGACAGCCATGCTTAACCCTAATTAAATATGGACACACCAATGATAGTAATGCTTCTCGATCCGAGGTGATGCACGAACTGAGGAGAGCAACTAGATAATCCTTGCCAACAGTGTGGAGCCGAGGTGGAAGGATGGAACCATGCTTCAAGACCTGTGATCAAGAAAGGGGAAGTCAGAGGCCCGAGGAGTTATCCCCGGGTAGGCACTCCGGCACTCAAGTCAGTAGAAGGTGGTGGATGGCTGAGCCAAGCAATAAGGGTGCTGGTCCGAGCAGAGTAACAACATGGGTGTTAGAAGTCAAGAGACTTACCTTGAGCAGGAGGTACCTTTTTATAGTTGGTGGGGCATGTCCTAGTTGGATTAGGCATCTGGGGTTGCCGAGGTGAGGTTCCCCGCTGGGGTCTTAGGGATAGTGTTGATCCCCGACGGAGTTACCCTCATCCCTCTTCTATTCTTGGTCATACTTATCCACATGACGTAGAGCTAACATGGAAGAGAGAATAAGGTAGAGAGGACTAAGGGAGTAGCGTAGCGCGGCCTGAGTTGTAGGGCTTCCGTATGTCGCAGAGTTGACTGGGCGGTGCCAATGTGGCCAGATAACTGGACGATGACTGGGTGGTCACGTGGCTCTTGGAGGCCAGCTCAGCCATGACCCGAATGCCATTCCCGCAGTTTTGAAGTCGAGGAATGAAGTGCTCGGCTGAGGTGTGGTGCGGTAGGGTGCTTCGTTCCTTGGCTGTGGAACTCTGAATTGGTCTTGGTTGAGCGTCTTGTTCCTCGGAGCTTGTCGGAATGCACATTGCAGGGTGTGGTTGAGGAGCTTTCCTCTCGTAGGCTATGGAACTTCGCTGACTGTAACTTCGCAATCTGAACACCACTCCCCCAGTTCGAGAGTCGAGGAGAGGGATGCTTGGCCGATAGATTGTGCGGCCGTTCACATCGGCGCCGAGGAATCTCGGGTTGGTCTTCGGGGTCTAGGCTTCTTTGTTGCTGCACTATGCCGAGGAAGTGTTCTTCGTCCTTCGGTCGAGGAACTTTAACTTCGAGATTTCGGAATCCGAACACCACTCCCCCAGTTCTGAGGTCGAAGGGAGGAGTGCTTGATCGGGGCATGGCGTGGGCTTTTTGGCTGGGGCCGCGGTGTGTGTGGCCCTTTCCTTCTTGGGGTGCACAGAACAGTCTTTTACCCAACTGGACTCGGCGACGAAGACCACGTGGGGTAGCGTCTGCTTGTCGAGTCTTTCTTTGGCAGGAATCCACACAGTGATGTGTCCTGCTACGGTTGTCTAGTTCGCGAGAGTGGGCGGAGGAGGCGGATCTTCTTGCCGTTTCTTGTCTTTCTTGATGAGACCGTGTTCCCCTCTTGTCCGGTCAGTGCGTTTTGGGGTCCTCAGGATGAGGATCATCCTTCGACCGTGTCGAGGCTGGAGGAGGGACGACCTGATTGGGTGGTGCTGTAGAACCCAGATTCTGCATCATTTCGAAGATCTTGTTGACCTTCTCTTGCATTGCTTGGAACTGTATGGGGTCAACCGCGGTCGGAGGTTGTGGGGTTTCTTGATGGGGGGGCTGTGCGGTGAGATTCTCGAGATGGGGATTGACCTGTTGATCGCTCGGACTGCTTCTTGGGCATCTTGATTGCTTTATTGATTGCACAGTGAGAGAGAAAGATTTCGGGAAAGGCTTTTTGTGCAATTCCCATAGACAGTCCCAATTTGATGCTACTCGATCCGAGGTGATCCACGAATCGAGGAGAGCAACCAGATAATCCTTGCCAACAGGGTGGAGCCGAGGTGGAAGGATGGAGCCGTGCTTCAAGACCTGTGATCAAGAAAGGGGAAGTTAGAGGCCCGAGGAATTATCCTTGGGTAGGCACTCCAACGCTCAAGTCAATAGAAGGTAGTGGATGGTCAGGCCGAGCAATAAGGGTGTTGGTCCAAGCAGAGTAACAGTATGGGTGTTAGAAGTTGAGAGACTTATCTTGAGCGGGAGGTACCTTTTTATAGCTGGCGGGGCATGTCCTAGTCGGATTAGGCTTTCGGGGTTGCCAGGGTGAGGTTCCCCACGGGGATCTTAGGGATAGTTTTGATCCCTGGCGGAGTTATCCTCATCCCTCTTCTATTCTTGGTCGTATTTATCCACATGACATAGAGCTAACATGGAAGAGAGAATAAGATAGAGAGGACTACGGAAGTAGCGCAATGCGGTCCGAGCTGTAGGGCCACTGTATGTCACGGAATTGACTGGGCGGTGTCGACGTGGCCAAATGACTTAATGATGAATGAGCAACTACGTGGCTCTTGGAGGCTAGCTCAGCCATGACCCGAACATATAGTAATAAAAATACAGATCACATGATATTTTGAACAAAGGGCTGGCGTCATTGTTAAAGGAAATCCTCATTTATCTAGTACTAATTGGCATTTTACTTAATAAATTTAAAAATCTATTGAAGGAATATGGGTATACATTGCTATTAAAGGAAGCTAAATTTAACAAGGATATTTTTTTTGGCTACTATTTGATAAGGATAATTAAACATAACTTAAATAAATCTAGCACATATTTGTTAGTGCCAAAATGAAAATTTTTCTTTTTAAAAAGAAAAGAAAAATTTTATCAATAATCACTGAGGGGGGACATGATCACTAATGTAGTCCGTTTGAAACACCTAATAAGTCAAAACTTAGTCACTTCTGTCCAATGACTAGCCTGGGTCACCAAATAGTAGTTCAAAGCAAAACCTAGTCAGTTCAAAGCAAAACCTAATCAGTTCTCTCTCTTTCTTTCTCACCTACATTTAGACATAGGCTCTCTTTCTTTCTCAGTCTCTCTTCTCCTCTGCCCAATAGTCTCTGACATTTAGGTTCACTTTGGAAAGAGTATAAGTACAAATTTATAGGGTGCAAACCTTGTATTTTGTATTATTTTGTATGTATTTGCACTGTACATATTTGTATTTATAGTCCTTCCAAACTAAGCCTTAGCAAAGGAACTACGACAGCCTGACCCCTTCTAGAGCATACATAGTGCAGCCACGTTCAGAGGTTTGACCACTTCCCCTCTTCCCCAATCAATTCTGCCTATCCTTCCTCAAAATTTTGCTTCAACCAGAACATTACTTGAATGAAAGCTTTGATATCTAATAACACTGGACACTCATACATACATTTTGCTAACAAAGCAAAACACAATGGATCTTAAGTTTCTTTTTGAGAAAAAGTTTGCAGGTTCCCTTACTTCAAAGTAGGAGTTTTCATCCTAATCTCAATGATTTAGAGGTAAAGAAAACTTGAGAATCAAAGATGATTTCACCACTGAAGCAAAACGACGATGGGTTGAATCCCTAGGAGGATTTGTGTTTGTCATCCCCTAATAATCCTTTCTCATGAGAAATCCAATCAAAATGATCTCTATGAAAAGTAAAAAATCCATATGATCAAGATACAAATGAAGACTTATTTTGTTCTTATTATTAATTAATGTTATTCATCAATAACATCAACCTTGGATTATATTCCACTAAATTTTCTATTTTTTTTAACTCGATGCTTAATATCAAAAAGTAAAATATATTTACCATTGCTAAATCATCAAAAATACATGTAAGGTTTTCTGAAAGCTAACTCACAGGGGGCCGGCCACAAGGAAGGGCTCCAACCATGGTCACAACAGACGCGGTCTTATGTTCTTAGATTTGTGTCTTCTCAAAAGTCAAAACAAAGTAGAAACATTTTCAGTTTTGGTGACCAAATTCATTTTCACTTTGATTTAGATAAAATCATTGTTTATGAAACCAACAAAAAGATGTTTCCAAAAACAAAAATACATTTTTCATTTTTAAAAGAAGCTTTTATTTAAGAATGAGAATAACCACTTTTAAGAAGCTTATTTTGAGAAAATAAGATGCCACTTCTACACACACACTATATATATATATACATATACATTGGCGATACACTTAAATATAAAGTAGAAACAGTTTATATTTTATATTCATTAGATTAAAGTAATGAAACATTTTATACAAAACCCTTATGGAAACAATTCATTTTGGAGAGCACCGCTTAACCTCTCATGTTTGTTTATTGTTAAATCCTAACACAATTACATTATTACTCAATCCGACTCAACTGAACCTTGACCCCAAAACCGTTGTGCACAATGCATAGTTGGATTCTTAATTCTCCATTCAGAAAACATTATTGAGGTTAAGCATCTTCTATCCAAGTTTTTCTTCTGTCTCTATATCTTTTATTTATTCTTTTATTTTCTTCTGATGGTATTATATTCTTCTTTTATGTCATATCCGGTCTACACACGTTTTCTCCCCCTACTTGGACTGCATTATTGACATGCCCTTTATATGATCACACTCTCCTTCTTAAAATTTCAGTACTTGGAGAACTGCCCAACCACCCCTTCAGTTCATCTTCGTCCCCCCCCAAGACTAGTTAGCTTGCAGAGTCTCCACTGCTTCTCTTGTAGTGTTTCGGAGAAACAAAGTAGAGCTGGTGGTGGAAACAATCAACACCCAGAAACCCAAAGCCGTAGAGCATATATATCCTTGTGTCTGAGAATGAATGGCAAAAAGGGTAGCGTCGAGATCGACATTCCTCCGGCATCGAAGACCAAACAGCCAGAAACCTGGAAGAAACCAATCACAGGAGGCTTCTCCATTAAAGAATGGATGTCGAATGTGTGGAGCTTTGCAAAAGAAGATAGTAACAGAGTAATATTCTCACTAAAGGTGGGCTTTGCTGTTCTCCTTGTGTCGCTGCTAATACTTTTCCGGGCACCTTATGAAGTATTCGGCACCAACATCATCTGGTCCATCCTCACTGTCGCCATTATGTTCGAATATACAGTCGGTAATGCATAGACATATACACATCCATCTCCATTAAGTTTTATGTATACCATAAATACATGCAAATTCACATAGGATGCATGGTCTAGATGCATCTATGTATCATGTAGAAGATGATACACATGATTCACATCTATCATGCACATACACAGAGTACATACATGTACACGTATGGGCATGGGCATGCATGTGTCAACTATGTCAACCGTTAAATATATACAATACCGCTAGCTATTAGAAAGCATATTCCAATTTCCAATATCCATCAGTTCACTCTCCTCACATTTGTCGATGTCCTGAATCCCTGAAGGAGCGACGTTTAACCGAGGGTTCAATCGAGCACTTGGAAGCTTACTTGCCGGAATTTTTGCTGTTGCCGTTGGTGAAGTTGCTCTGCGCACCGGCCATGTTGCCGAACCCATAATAATCGGCATTAGCATCTTCTTTATTGGTATGTACATTCTGCATCTCTCTCTCTCTCTCTCTCTCGGAGATCTAACTGAACTGAACATACATCACCTTCATACATGTAGGTACTATTACCTCATTCATGAAGCTATGGCCGTCCCTCGTCCCATACGAATATGGGTTCAGGGTCACACTCTTCACCTTCTGTCTAATAATAGTCTCTGGTTATCGGATGGGTAGCCCAATCAGAACTGCCATGGATCGGCTGTACTCGATTGCCATCGGAGGGATTGTAGCAGTTCTAGTGAACGTCCTCGTATTCCCCATTTGGGCAGGGGAGCAGCTTCATAAAGAGTTGGTCAATAGCTTCAACTCGGTGGCGGACTCTCTTGAAGGTGGTTCTTCGCTACCACCACTTCTTTGTTTGTTGCTCTGTGCATATTCTGTTAACGAAATATTAAACTAACCCAGTAAATCAATATCTCTTCGTCTGTGCAACCTCAGAGTGCGTAAGAAAATATTTAGAAGACGATGGATCTGATCACACAGAGTTTGCGAAGACCGTCATGGACGAGTTCCCCGACGAGCCGGCGTATCGAAAATGCCGAGCAACGATGAATTCATCGGCGAAATTTGATTCTTTGGTAACGTTTTCTGTGTATTATCGTATGGACTAAGGATTAATTAAGTGTGGTTGGGTAGTAATTGATGGTCGTCTTGTACGTGTTTGTAGGCGAATTCGGCGAAATGGGAGCCCCCACATGGCAGGTTCAAGCATTTCTTCTATCCATGGTCGGAATATGTGAAAGTCGGTGCCGTCCTCCGGTATTGCGCCTACGAAGTAATGGCGCTTCACGGTGTCCTGCACTCCGAGATACAGGTCTTCTTCTTCTTCTTCTTCTTCTTCTTCATCCCTTAACATAAACGTTGAGAGTTGAGAGTTACACAGAACAAACCAAACCAAACAAAACCACTTGGAGCGGCACGTGTGGATGTGCCGCCATGTACGGAAGTGAAGTGACGAGTGTGACACTTGTTTCAACCTCAGCTGTGCTTAAGATTCTCTCGAAACGTGGGTCTGCTTTGGCTGCATGAGGGCAGCCTAGGCTGCACCGAGCCAATGAAAGTCAGCCACGAAGCCCATGCTGAGAGAATCTAAATTTTTGTCCTTCTTTAGGCGACGTGTCTTATTTTAATAATTTGCTTAAAACAATTATTAAAAATTAATCAAAAGTCAACTATTAAAGATCACGGGTTGCAAAAAACTTGGCTCCATCTAAATCCATATACAGGCTCAATTGTTAATTTAATTGAGCTCAAATAAGATGAAGCTTGTGACACCAATTGAGCTTATATATAATAATACTTTTGGTTTTTATATACAATAAGAAATAATTTTTATATGTATCATTTTGAAATTTTTATATGAAGTTTAGTTCACTATACGAGCGGAACTCAAATAATCTAATATACCCAAAGAGCAGCCAGGAGATGAATTTGCTAACATTACTTCATTATTGGGTGCTTTTGTGCAGAATTGTTATGCTAACAATCTATTTCCATGCATTTAAAAATGATTTTGATTGAACTAAGGCTGTATTTTGTTTGAAGGAAAAAGTAGGAAAACCTTTACAAATCTCTTTCTATTTTTTCCTACTTTTTTCATCAAACCAAACATAATGTAAGTGTACCCTTAATTGGTGTCCCATTTGATGAAAATATGTCAGAGCAAAGAAGTGATTTTCTGTAACAAAAAGCTTTAAATGGACAAGTCCAAGAACAAAGAAATAACAAAGATTAAAAAGGGGGGGGGGGGGGGGGTGTTCGCTTATATGTATGAATTTGATTCTTAAAAAACATAACAACTGCCACTTCAACAAAATAATATTGTTTTCACTAAAGTGGTAGTTGTTTTTGCTTCCAAAAAATCAAAATTGTATCATATATGCATATTGACAAACACCCCTTAAGATGATCTAAAAACCTTAGAATTTAACAGAAATAAAATGACTTTGTACAATGATATTCCAGGATTTATTGACCCCAAACAGAAAATGTATATATTTTGATTCCAAATTGATAGAGTTGTGATTCTCTAATCTCTACACCATTTACCAAAGTAAACTTCTCATCTACTACTGTAAAGTATGATAATTGATGAAGGTGCTTTAGTAAACTTGAAGCGCAATTTGCATTGACTAGTGAATTATATTCATCAAGCTGATTTCAGCCTTGAGGACCTCTGCTTCCACTTTGGTTGCACGTAGAAAATGAAAGATAATGAACAGTTTTCAAAAAAATTTGCTGTTATATATATGGCGTTCGGTTGCGTGGAAAATGGCCAGAGAAAATTATTCGTTTTAATTTTCTATGGAGTTTATGTATCTTCCTTGTGTTATAAGCAACCAAAGACAGCCTTAACATAGTTTTGTTGTTTTAACTTCTTGTTTTCCTTTATGTACCCAGCTGGGATTTATTGAAAAATGAAAATTGTAGTATGTCATTACAATATTATCATCAATTAAGACTTTTGCTTTCTTATTTGACAACTTTGTCTTCACAATATCCACGCGGCGCCAGTAAAAAGATTTAAAATGGTTAAAAATAGGCCTGGCAAAAATTCGACCCGATCCGTGAACTGAAAATGGGTCGGGTCACCCCTTTTCAAATTGATGTTTTCGATCCACAGTTGGCCCAGACAGTAGAATTATTCGATTGAATGATTAAACCGTGTTTTTAGTAACTATATATATATATATTAAAAGAAACTCTTGATTTGGTCAAAAACCTACTGACCAAAGTGAACCAGTGGCATGTTTGACCCGTGGATCAACCCTATACCCTAAGATTCAGGGGCAGGGTCCAGCCTTTGCCAACTTGACCTGACCCGACCCAATTCAATTGGGAGGCCTAGTTAACAAAAGAACCTCTGGAATAAAAGGGGAATGGAGTTTATTTATGGGTGGAGAGATTTGCTACTCACAATACAAGGAGTTTGGCTTCAGGGCAAAAGCCAATTCGGGCAGTTTTTACTGTCTTTCATTGAGAATATCTCCGTACTTGTGTTCTATATTTCCAATATAAGATTACAAAAGGCTGTTACAACAGTGTGAATGCAAATTTGCCCTGATAGAAGCCGATCTCCAATACAAGATGGCGATATATGACTGAAATTCAAGGTGGGTAGAGAGTAGTGGGCAGGAAAACCTATTTTTATTTATGGGGCTACAAAGTGACCCAAGGATTTAATTCAACCCATCCCAAGATGGGCCTGACGATGAGACTGACCCATTCCTATGCAAATTTTTAGTGATTTAATTCAACCCATCCCAACCTCTACAAGCAAGGTTGGGCCGTCCTGCAGACTAGCTCGGAGGCCCAACGTGCACACGAATGAAGTGCCCAACAGCCCAACTCCCAATAAGTGGCCCAAGTCTGAAAGGGGGGAAAAAATGCTGACAAAGTTTTGTCTTCGTTTTTCAGGCACCCTATAACCTTCGGGTTGCGTTTCAATCGGAGATCCAGGATGCCAGCAGCCATGCAGCAGAGCTAGTGAGGAGCTTGGGTAAGGACATAAGCAACATGAAACGAAGGCTTCAAAATTCTCTACTGAAGAGAGTCCACAGCTCAACTGAACGTCTCCAGCGTGCCATAGACATGCACTCCTACCTACTCACCTCCGGCCATGACCTACTTGACTACTCCAAGCCACTTCCCAAAATCTCTAGTACTCTCTCGTCTGCCCCGTCCGACCTCTCCGCCCAACTGGCTGAGCCGGCAGGTAGCAACCGCCCTGAGCCGCCCCAGGAAGCCCAAGCACCTGCTGAGACTCTCCCTCCGGCCCCAGCTGAATCATACAATGAGACAATGAAAAAGCAACAGAGGAGGCTGTATTCATGGCCTCTGAGAGAGGTGGATACATTCGAAGAGGGTACCGTGGGCGGCGCCGGCAACTTACTGCCGAGAATGAGTGCACTGGAGAGCACCACGGCCCTGTCACTGGCCACCTTCACCTCATTGCTTATTGAGTTCGTGGCTAGGCTTGATCACTTGGTTGAAGCTGTGGATGAGCTTGCTAAAATGGCCAAGTTCAAGAATGAGGATTCATAAACTGAAGGCGCCCTTCTTAGTCTTGCATATTTGATTTTGATGATGTAAAAGTAGAAAATACTTGTGTGTGTGAGAGAAAAAAATTTCATAGATATCATCAGTTATGAAAATTCCTTCTAACCAAGGCCAAAAATCAATTCAAACCATCAATGACCCCTTGTAGAATGATTTAATTTGCGACTACTTATATTGTCCCAATTTGTTCCTTACCAGTTAACATTGGGGCTCATACTCAAATTTGCAGAAGTGAAAGGGTCCATCAACTACGGCGCATAAGAAGTTAAGAACAAAATGAATTAATTAGAAAGAAAAGAAAAGCCACTTCTAAAACACACACAAAAGACGCTTTTGTTTTGGGAACGTTACCAAAATCAACCACCAAGCATCAGTTTGTTCTTATATATGGTTTCACTTAGGCTGCGTTTGGTTGAAAATTTGCACGGGTGTAAATGTATAGGAGTACAAATAGGCTTAACATAAAAGCTAGTTTACTTTTGCTTCAGATTTGACCTTGTTTGTCTTGTTTATTTGTGAAAAGTAAAATTGTGTGAGGATTATTTATTTAGGATTGTGGTAGGAAGCATGATGATGCTTCATTGATACATATGAGAGAGAATTAAGGTAGGAGGAAAGTGGTGCAAATTTTGCATCAGCTTTTTGATATGCAAATGAGGTTAAAAATACATAAATTTTTATAAGTAGATAATGCAAATAGTTTTTACAAACAAACAGATACAAAATTGAACCTGATGCAAAATTTGTATCTAGTTCAGATATTCACTGCAGCCAAATGCAGCCTTAAGTTTCCTACAACTCAATTATCTGTTTGTTAAAATATTAGCTGAGATGGTATATTATTTCGGCACTGTTTTGCTAGTCAGAGAGAGAGAGAGACTCCATCACCTCAAAGAAGGAAAACCAATAATTGATCCTTCGTCCATGGAAGACAGCACCGTGCAATAGCACAAGTAGAAGCTACCGTGGTGGTCCAAATCCCAGGTCAAATCTTGCTGGGCCCAATTGAACCACAAATCTGTCCTACGAAATCTAATAAAAGAATGGGGGGTGTAGTCCAGAATAAATGGGGAATAAAAACCAATCCGCAAAAAAAAACCCGATAAATCCATGATTTTGAAATCGTGGACCTAAAATTCAAACCATCAGCATAGAAAACTCAAATTTCCTGACTAGCCCACAACACAGATTTTGAGACAATCGACAACTATTAGTATATACCAGCGTTAATTGACCCACGAAACCGGAATCAGACGAAATACAACTTGGGTCGTGGACTTGTGGTCCATGAGAATCATACCAATTACTTGTTTTTGAAATGGATTCGAAAATTCCAAGGAAAATGTGGCCAAAGTTCAAAATCTAAACCATCTAAAGTAAGGTTCATTTCCCTTGCACTCTTTTTTCCCTTTCTCCATTCTTCCTTTCCTACTTCCTCTTTTAACTCTCTCTCCTTTCTCTATTTTCCCTTCCCAGTCCTCCCATTAAAGCCAAATCACTAGAGGTTTAGCAAATCTTCATAGAATCTCTCTCTCTCTCAACGTTTCCAATTATCTAATTCATCTCATCTCCCAAAATTTCTACTAAATATCTCACCCACCTAAAACTCCATTGTAAATCCCCCCACCCCCTTTTTGTTGAGTGATGGAAAAAAGTTATTTACCAAATACTCACTCGAGAAACTTCTATAATGAAAAACTGCCACAAAAAGGGAAGAAGCTTATATGAAAACCTGGAATTGATTTGTCTTTAAAACCGAGAAAAAGTGGTTGATAAACATTTTTATAGTGTTTGTTTACAGCTAGGGGCCATTAGGAACACCTTTGTGTTGGGGGAAATGTTAAAATGAAATTTCCCCCAACGATTGGCTTGCACGTAAACCGATACAAGCATTTATTAGATAAACAAGGCTATCAAATAATAGTTTGGGACAAACGCCTACATGGCAATGAACTGGCACCATTTATCTAATAAACAGAAGTCATACCAAACACCATTTAAACCAATAACAAATGCAAATTGAAAAAAAAAAACACTATAAAATGGATGGAAAAAGGGTAGTTTAGGGATTTAGAAAGGTTTAAACAGTTATATGAGAGTCTTTCTCAAAGTTAATTTTGTTAGAACCTGAAAAATTCAGTAGGGGTAATTGCCACTACTCCCAAAGTAAAGGGTAGTAATTTATCCAAATCCTGTTGTAATGATAAATAATATTTTAAATTATAATATTGTCATGCTAACTAATGGAATACTAATAGCCAAACTTAGGTGTATATTTCCAAAAGTTTAAGGTACTTGATTGTCACACTTGAAAGCTGAGGCTCTTAAGGCTGTTTTTGGTTTAAATGAAAAAATAGGGAAAGGAAGGAAAATGTAGGGAAACCTTTACAAATCTTGTATAGGTTTTCCTATGTTTTCCTTCCTTTCCCTACCTTTTTCTTCAAACCAAACATAACCCAAGTGTCACTACCCCCAAAGTTGTAATATCCCTTTTGTTTATGACTATATGGTTATGGATGAATGAATATGATTTCTAGAGTTTTTAGTAGCAGAACAAACCAATGAAGAAGCCTTAAATGAATTAGAGTTGGGGGCTTGGGGCGTTGTAGATAAGTGAGAATAAGTACAAGCTTAAGTGGGAGGAACATGGATGGAGGGTGGTGGCAAGAAGAGGAAGAAATCAGGACACATGAACATCATAGGCACATAGGGACAAACTGTAAGTGGGGCTTGTCAAGACATGTCTCCATATTGATGAACTTAGCACCTATGATAAGGTATTAAAGTCAGGCCTGAGCTCAACCCAGCTTGGACTCCAGGCCTAAAATATAAGTCTGGGCCTGGGTCTATATGGGCCCAGGCCTAGATACTTTCCTATAAAAATTACACTATATAATATATATACATGAAAAAGATTAGGGTAGATTACGAAGACCCCCTATTCTATGGGGCTAGTGACAATTACCCCCTGAACTTTCATTTGTGCTGAAGACCGCCCTATATTATGAGGTCAGTGACAATTATCCCCCCTAAACTTTCATTTGCAACAAATACCCCCTAATCACCAAGTCATATGGCAAAATGTGTTAAATTACCATAATACCTACCTAAACTTTCCTTATTTTCTTTTCCTTTCTCTTTTTCCATTAAACCCTAATTGACCTAAAAATACCTCATTTTTTTCCAAAGGAAACCAAATAAAATAACAAGAATCATTTCACTAACATAGAAAAACAAGTTTCTTTAAATTCTTGTTTCATTTCGCTGACATGAATGTCTCTCTTCATCTTAAAATATAAAAATTATCCATCCCTTTCTTTAATAAATTAAGAAAAACCAAACAAAACCTTAAATTTATATTTATCAAAAAGAAACCTCTAACATTTCATTTGAATATTGAATCCAACCAACAATCTACAGGGATCTATTAAAGCAACTAAGAGGAGTTCAATATTATATTTAAAAAATTAATTGAATCATAAATTGTTCAAATAAATAAGAAAAGGGTAATTTGGGAATTTAAAAATTTTAAACAACTTAATGAGAATCCTTTTCAAAGTCAACTGATGAAACTCCAACAGAAAGGGGCATTTGTCGCAAAGCGAAAGTACAGTGGGGATAATTGTTAACCCCATAGTAGAGGGGGGTCTTTGTTGTAAATGAAAGTTTAGGGGGGTATTATCACTAACCCAATAGCCCAAGTTGCCTATTCTTTTATAGTTGAAGGTAAAACCTTCATTCTCTTTCCCAAGCAATGTTAAATGTATTAAAAAAAAAAAAACAAAAAAAAAACTAAAGCAATATTGAGTGTTGTTCGAAGTCCCACATTGCTTGAAAAAGGAAATGGAGGCTTTGCCTTGCTCAATGCATTGTCTATGACTCTATGAAGACGACTCTCATATTTGTAATGACTCGTGTGTTAACATATATCGACACTTCATAAGGAAATATTAAGTATAATTTATCTATTATATATAATAAGTATATATAAGATATTATCATATGCAAATATTATGGATATTATACATTACGAGCCAGGCCTGGCCTGGAATTTTGTTGGCTTCAGGCACTGAAATGAAAAACGGGAATTGTCTAATTAAAGTACTGAAATAAAAAGAGAGGTAAGAAGTACAACTGGGAGCTCAACAACAAATGTATATATATATATATATGAAAGAAGAAGAATGTAATTTTCAGACCAACACCAGATGCTGAATCACTTGGATCATGCTTCAACAATTTGACTGACTGACGAGTGTAACAAGTAAAACAGGAAATATAGGAAGTAATAAAATGCATAGTGAACCAGAAGTATTCTATAAAATAGGTAAAATTTATTCAAGCCAAAACAGTATGGCGACCCAGGAGTTGATCTGAACAGCCCAGCTGATAGATGCAAATGGTCCAAGTAGCTCAACTGTCATTTCTGATCCAGCCCAACTTTCATAACACTGGTTAGGTATGGACAATGTGCTTTGATACTAGTTAAGCTTACCTTGTCCGATAAGAATACTACTAGCAAATAAAGCTCAAAATGACAACCTAAAACAAGGCCCATGTCTACTTGATGATGTATCCAGAAAGCTAGTTAGCTGGTTAACACTTAGTGCGCAGTAGGTGAAATTTTATGTTACAGAGGATACAAGAGTCACAATAACATGACCAGCTAGTGCTCCTGCAATGACTCGTAGAGGTGAAAAAGCTGCAGCAAGTGTTACCACTACAAGAAAAATGACTTTTAACGGCAGTCAAAACTGTCGCGTGTTAGCGGCAGTTTTCTCAGCTGCCGCTAAAACTTCTTTAGCAGCAGTCGCGATTGCCGCTAAATCTATATATGCATTTTTTATATAACCTGTATTTTTTTTTAAATTTTATTTCTAATTTTCTTCAAATAACCTGTTTCTCTACATCCATCTAAACTGAAATGAAATACAAAAATCAAAACATCAATTACAAATAAAATTTAAAAATCCATTCTCCATTCAAAACATTTGAGTCACAAATACATTTTAGTTTCAAATTGATAGATTCTTAGTTTGTACAAGAAATGCTCCCTTCGCAATGCCATTTTGGGTGCTTTTCGAATCAAGACTCAGCCCGCCTGTTCTACTGTTGTGACTGCTATTCTCTTCATCAACAAATAGCTGCTATTCTGAGCTGAGTACCTCAAAGGTTCCGTATCATAGGGATCCTCACTCTGAGCAAACAACCTGTCCTGTGAAGCTGAGCTACTTCCTGAAGATGAATTCACATGGCATTATAATTCCCAGTATGAATATATTGACCCCTCATGAAAATCATATCTTCACTTGGATATTCTTGGCCGTAAGGCCTTCGACTTTCCACCCCCTTAGGACCAAAATGCTTGTATTCCCTTTGCTAGCTTGGTGCTACTATGCTTCATCTTTGGATATGCTTTCCACCTCCTTAGGCCATAAGATCTTGCCTTGCACATGCATATGCTTCATCTTTGGATAGCTTTTTCTCCTTCAACCTTCTATGGCAAAACCACCCAGATACCTGCTTTTCCAACAATCCTATCTCCTCTGCAAGCTGTAACTTCATTGACTCTATGGGGTACTTGTGTTCTGGGTAAAATAAAGTTTTTGGTAAGAGACATTTCTTATAAGAGTTCAAGTGAACTTAACATCAAGTCAGAACATAAAATATGTTAAAAGGAGCAGCAATACAGCAATACCATTATAAAATTTCTCTAAGGCCTCAACTTGGGATGGTGTCTTCAGCCTCCTTTTCTTGTTCTTTTCAAGAACAACTTTGTCCTTTTCAGGATGAATATCACAGGATTCTGAAATGTTGACATATGAAAAAAATAGCATTAATTTTATTAATGATGTCTGTGACAGGTGAAATGACGTTAAGTATCAAGCAATATATGCTACCTCATCACTTGTTATAAGTGATTGTACTTCAAAGATGTAAATAAGCAATGCATAGGAACGGGAACATGAAGCTTATCTTTAAATTAGGAAATAACATGCATAACAGAAATTGTGACAATAAAATAAAATAACTAGTAGCCAACAGAAAGATCCCACACTGAGTGATAATGTTTACCAGCCTTGATCATCCAACTTGAGAAATAAAGCTCCACAAGCTTGGGCTTATTGCGCTTTCTTAGCCTGGATATGGAACACCCTCAAATATTTTTGTAAATAGTTACCAGCTATGAGCTAACCACATGTACAGAGAGATCCTTTGTCACAACATTAATGGTGAAGCTTATTTTAAGCCTCTTATTGAATGGTACAAGAAAATTGATTTTGATACTTCAACAGCTACACTTAATTGCATGTATGGTGAAAAAAACTATGTGTAAGCATTCAAGGTGTCAATGCTCATATATTATATAAGATACCACGTGCGGAGAAATGGGAAAAAATACAGCAAAAACATAGGTTGTGTAGCTTACTTCAAAAAAACTACAATCATAGTACTTCTAGAGAAACTACTACTGCTTACCACTTACATGGAAATTTCCATTTCTTAAGCTTCTTTTGACCAACATATGGCCTTCCCCTAAGAGGTAAGGGTATGATGCAAATGATCGGAGATCCAAAGTTTGGTTATGTTTCAAAATAAATGCTTATTTGCTTCTCTGTTCTGAAGAGCAGAAAAGCACCAAAACATTTCAGCCAAAGCTCTCAAGGTGCCCTCTTCTAAATTGATACCAGCCACTAGACTTGTAGACCAATTGATTTTCAAATTGGAAATCCTTTCAAAGAGGCTCACAACTAGCTCTAAATTTTCTACACCTTCTCAACTCTCCCCACCAAAGAAGACCAAAATGTCATCTGCAAACTGTGAGTGTGACACCAAAACTTTGCTGCTACATATGTTCACTCTTCACTGTGTGAAGTATTAGGATTTTTCAAAACTAAACCCTCAAAGTTGCATATCCTATAACTGAAGCTCAAGGTAAGTACCTCAATGGAAAGAGAGATATTAGCAACTTTTGAAAAAAAAAAAAATCAGGAGTTGAGCAATATTACAAAATAAATAGAGCTATCTATTTCCTTGAAGTTGGATAAATTAGTACATATAGTAGATTATATAGGAATATGTTCATGGCTCTCTAAGCAGATTTGTTATAAGAGTAACATAAAGAGCATTTTGTTTTGCATCCCTCTGAAATGCTCTGTTTTTTCAGTGCATACTGCATTACCTTAATGGAAAGAGAGATATTAGCAACTTTTGAAAAAAAAATCAGGAGTTGAGCAATATTACAAAATAGATCTATCTATTTCCTTGAAGTTAGACAAATTAGTAGATATAGTAGGATTATATAAGAATATGTTCATGGTTCTCTAAGCAATTTTGTTATAAGAGTAACATAAAGAGCATTTTCTTTTGCATCCCTCAGAAATGCTCTGTTTTTCTTAGACAATGGTTTGGAGACATCAGTAATTTCTTTTTTCCAATCAACCCTAATGTAAAAGCGTCAACCATCTTCCATCCACTATAGCCGAAGGGGCAGCAGTTTATGGATTTCTACCAAATGAATGTACAACAAAGAAAAAGAATATCAGAAAGTATTAAAAGAAATTACAGCAAAGATGCTTTCTGAAAATGCTGGAAATTCCCTGATTAATGGTTGTTCATATTCGTACAATGCCACCATTAATTGTCTTCAATACCTACACCATGTTTTAGATTCTTGTTAAGAGATTGATCTTCTGCTATTAAATCCTTGTTTTTCTATCCTCCTTCAAGTCTATATTCTACACCAGAAATTTGAGTTGAGAAAAAAAAAAAAAAAAAAAAAAAAAAAGCGAAAACGTCATCCCGACCAAAAGAGGAAAAAAATCCCAGCAAACCATGCTTAATTGAAGGGAAGTCTTCTTGAGAGCTTATACAGTTAAAGGAAACAAAAGAAAAAGAAAACGAAACTAAAGATTGCATGAGATACATTTGGGGAAAATAAAAGGGAAAACCGAGAGTAACCTTGATAATACGGGACTGGAAGTTCTGGAAGATGCCATTGATTTCTTCCTCCGTGAGCGAGGAGGGATTAATTTGACCAAAGGACAAAGAAAACACATTGTAAGCTTCAGAAGTTTGGGACTTGAAGGCTCTAACTGCAACCTGAAAAACGTTCTCGGGAGAGTGTCAGAATCTCTCTCAGCGTCTCGTCTTCTTCACCTACTTTACGCATTGTGCAAAAATGGCGAAAATGTTGAAGCTCAGGGGAAAAGAATGTTGGATTGAAGGGCCCAACCGGGTTCGAACCGGTGACCTCTTGATCTGCAGTCAAATGCTCTACCACTGAGCTATGGACCCAACTTTTGATTAACTATTCTAGTTCTTTCTCTTAATGTGTTTTTATTTATTAGAATTTATATAATATATGAATATTCGTATCATCCTCAACCATTTAATCTGTAAATGACGTTTTGAAGTATAACTCTTAGGTACACGTCTAAATTTTCAGTTACAATTGAACGAACGTGAAACAAAATCTTTACACAAATTTTGCTCTAATAATAACTTGTGCTCCCTTAGGTCCTCTTTGCATTCAATTTCTGCCCAACCCCAACTACTTCTAAAACTGCCTTTTCGTTTGCACTTTAAAAAAAAGGCAGTTTTTCTTTTATTTTGCTTTGTTTTTATGTGTTTTAAAATGCCAAAATATGTTTTCTCTCATCTTTCACTTTCATTTTTATATTTATTTTATCTAATTATTAATTTATGTATTTGGATTTTGATAACATAATTCTAAAAGCAAGTTTCATTAGGGTGACAATGGACCGGTTTTGGATTGGACCCCGTCTAGTCCAAAATCAATTTGGATAGATTGGACGGACCAACAAGACATTGGATTGGACCAATCCGATTCAAGATATTTATTAGATTGGATTGGACCTGGTTTGTCTATAACAAATTTATATTGGATTGGGTTGGATTAAGACAATGTCTGGTCCATTGATATAAGATAAGAATATATGTATCAATAGACCGGGTTTGGGTTGAAATCAATCTAAATCAAAATGAATTTGAATAGATTGGACGGTCCAGACATTGAATTGAACTGGTCCAAAACATCCATTGGATTGGACCTGATCCATTTATAATGGACTCACATTGGACTAGATCGGATTGGACCTAGTCTAGTCCAATTGACACCCCTATTATTAATAATAGGAGAAAGAACTTGTACAGAGATTTGTGTTAGATTTAGGACTTAACGGGCATCTATATCTATATATAGATATGGAGGAGAGGTGAGGGGTCCTTTTAGAGCTCACATGTAACTCCTCTTCCTCTCTTTTTACACAGGTATATTTATTTTTAAATTAAATCATTAAAAATATAACAACTCAAAATTAAAAACCTCATTGATCTTCATTGTCTCTCATAAAATCCATATTTACTATAATAATTTCATTCTTAAAGCTATGTTTGGTTTGAAGAAAAATGCAGGGAAAAAAAAGGGAAAGGTAGGGAAACATTTACAAACATTGTATAAGTTTTCCCGTCTTTCCCTTCCTTTCCCTACCTTTTCCTTTAAACCAAACATAGCCTAAATCTCTCTCTCTCTCTCTCCACCCACCCTTTTGGCTCTCTCTAATAAAATAGGGGCATAATTTAAATGGATTGGGTTAGGTTAGGGGACAATTCTAAATATGAACCCTAGTTTGGACACAAACTAATGTCAAAACCCAAATTTACCCATCCAATCCATGGGATGAACCAATCTTCTTCTTCTTCTATAAAAGTCTAAAGAAACCATTGCTCCTTTCCATGGGTCTTCAAGTTTTTTCTCTCAGTGTTTTATTAATTTAATGCTATTTTTTGAGAAAGATAAATGTATTAATTAAAAGAAGTGGAAAAAGCACACAAGTTGTATACTTTAGGAGATTCCAAGAGTTAGCTTGATAACATAAAGAAAAAAAAAATAAAAAATAAAAAAAAAACAGCCAACACCAAAAACCCAAACAAGAAATAGCCTAGGCCCACCATATAACAGACCACAAAGTAGAAGGGCAACTTTAACCCCAAAAGCTGAACAAAACCACAAAGACAAACCACCACAAAAGCTAAATTGGGAGTGAGGACCTTCCTCTGCCTCTTTTTCCCCTCACCCTCGAGCTACGAGCAACCCTAGAAACGGACAATTACTATTATGGGGGTGTTCTTTTTTTCGATTTGGAGAGGGGGGGCGGGAAGTTTGTCAATGGGATTTTGATTCCCATTGACCAAAAATCACATGTTTTTTTTTTAAATTTATGTGAGGATCAGGGTAAATTTATTTTCCGGGTAAGTGATACCCATCTCCTAGGTGGATAAATAACTTTCCCACCTTGGGGAAAAGTTTCCAACACTTGAAAGGGACAAAAATGCCCCTTATAATAATGGATTTTTATGGATAAAATGGTCATTACCTTATTTACATGGAAAATAAAAGAACATGGGTAAATGCACTTACCTAGGTAAATTCTTTACCAAATCTTTCTTGGGTAAGTGCATTTACCTGGATAAATAACTTATTGAAATGTGAACAGGGCTTACATCATAAAATCTACAATGTTTTTGGACCTCCTACACTCTGGGAGATGATCCAAACTATCAACAAAAACATCAAAGCTAGCACTAAGGCTGTGCTTGGTTTGAAGGAAAAAATAGGGAAAGGAAGGGATATAGGTTTCCCTACCTTTTCCTTCAAACCAAACATAACCTAAGAGTTTTCACAACCCGAACTCTCAACGTGGGAGAATTTAGATAAGAAACTTATTCTCAATCCCATTCGATGTCAGCAGCTAACTCAATCAAGGAGACATTAATGTTGGGTTCAAGGGGAGTTTCTTGAGGCTGGCTAACGAAAAGGCACTAGATCAATCTTGTTGGGACCCATCAAACGATTAGACCTTTTTCACACTTGGCCCAAAGGAATCAATCCTTGGGATTGCAACGGTTTTGGGCTTAGATGTTCCCAATACACGGCGGGGATATACTGTAATTAGCTCGATGAACTCGGGGATATAAGAGAAACATTCAATCTAGAACCTTAAGTTGTTAAGTGAGGTTCTTGAATAAGTTTTATTCTCTAATATGGCCCTTCACATGAGGGCCCATTGGGCTTGAAATGTGGACAGAACAAGTCCATTACACACCTTGTGATAAAATTTAATTAATTATAATAGGGGTGACGAGAATTGAACACTAGACCACTTGATCAAAATGGCTCTGATACCATCTCAAAAACTATTTAACTTAACTGCTAAGTAAAGTTTTTGAAAAGGTTTTATTCTCAGGCTCGGGATAGCCCATAAGGGATCAGTGGGACAAGACTACCCTTTGTCCATTCAATCAAAAGACTCCTGAATGTAGTGGTGCTCCAGTCGCTTCTAACTCAAATGAAAAGATGAAGAGCAATCTGATTCCCTCCAGCCTTCTGAATTTTGGCTTTGACAGGTTAAGCCAAGAGAGAGAAACCCAACATTCAATCCCTCCATCATCTGAACAATGACCTGAGAACCAACATATCAGACGTCGCCATAGGAAAAAAAAAATCAGTTCAATTTTGAAAGAAAATTATTTTTCTACTGTTTCATATATAAAAAATTAGAAATATATATTTGTGAATGAATGATATTCCATTTATTTCTTTAAAATACACTTTTAAATACCAGCCCGCACGGGTCACCACTAGTTTGTATTATATAAAGGAAAGAGGGGGCCAACAGTCCTCTCATCTAAATGTTCTATATTTTTAAATTAAATTAGTAAAAGTATAAGAAATCAAAATAAAAATCCTCTTAATTTTTAAAATCTAATTATCTCTAATAAAACCCATCATTATTCTTTTCAAAAAATTATTCTTTAAACTCTCTTTATACAATGGTCGATGTTTGTAATATCTCACTTTTTCCCTTGGATTCCTCCATCCCTCTTAAATCTCTAACCCCTTTTGGTTCTTTCTGATGAAGTAAGAGTACAAATTATATGAATAGTTTGAACGCAAATTGGTACCGACACACTACCCATACTGCACTATCCGTTATTTATTTCCTTATTTATCATTCATATCTGTTTGTCTTTCACAGGTCATTATATCTCCTGCCGACAGTACATTTGGCCCTACATATGTCCACGGAAGCCTATTTAGCCCAATTCTAACAGAAAAACTATGAACACGAAATTACTCTTTGGCCCCACTAAGAACAATTTTTGCAATTACTTTTTAGCCCACAACCATGTTAACGAAATTTAACCCAGACACATGGTTTTTAAAACCGGGAGGATGATCGGTTTCATTTTTTGTCAAAATTGAATTTTGGCTTTGGAAAAAAAAAAAAAAAACGTTGATTTGGTTAGCAAACCACTGATCTGGGTTGTTAAACTTTTTTAACCATTTAATGGTTTTTATCATTTTTTTTGTTAGAACAGGTTGAACCATTCAACCCAGGAATTGGATTTTTGATCGATTCGTTCTCCAGATCGGTTTTAAAAACCTTATCCAGACAAACAGTCAAAATTTTCTGGTTTAAGTTAGGAAATGGCTTAGTTCCTGTTTGGAAGGGCTTTCAGGTTGTGGCTTCTCGCTTTATGAGTGGGCCTCATTTGGACAACATGGAAAACTGAAAATAGCTATCCATCAGCCAGAAATAAGGCTTTCCACTGAAACTTCTTTTGATGTCCATCTGGGAGGGCTTTCACACAACAGCTTCTAGTTTTTTAAGGTGATCTCCACACTCCACACAGAAAGCTATGTTCTGTGAAGCATTACTTCTTTCCAGTGAAACTAGTTGTAGTAGCTTCTTTTAATGTGACTCAACTAATACAGCTCAATCAAAACTGAAGCCCTTCCAGGTGGGCCATTTAGAATCTAGCCCAAGTTGCTTGTTCAAAGACTCAATCCAGTTTTAACTCAAATCCAACTAAATTTTCTCAGTAAATGGTCAGCCCCACCCAGACCCATCACCCCAACAATAGACAATAGAGTGGCTGGGGTGGAGTCGGGCATTATGGGGATTGAAGTAGGAGTATCTGTGCAGACGTAAAGATCACTGAATCTATTACCCACAAACTGTTCTCACAGAACACCACCACTGTGTATTGAGAATATCTCCACATAAATGAGAAGCGAGATGTTCTCAACTTCTCATTATTCAGCTGTAATGTCCTGACAGGAATGTAGAAACATCTTGTGGGTAGCAAATTCAAGCTTGATGTATAAATTTACTGTGTTGTGGGTAGGCGTGGGTAGCAAATCCCAAGTCCGTCAACATGCCTAGCTAATTCAACAAAGTATAAACAACTAAGCATCTTAACTGTGGTGGCAACTGTGATGTGGGGTCCAAAATATAAGCCCATGTGCATTTCTTTGAAAACTTTCAAATACAGAGCTGTAAGCAGATCTGGACCCCAATTAGAGGGAACGGGATCTGCTCCTTACACATGAGGCCTCATAGGCACATCCACCGTGCATTGGGAATATCTCCCATGCATAATAACTTATAAATATGGAAAATGTTCCCAATGCATAGTAGGATGTGCATGTGAGGTGAGTGTGAGGCGCGCCCTGTGTGAAAAGCAGATCCGGTCTCTAATTAGAAAACCTTAGGCTTGGTCGAGTTTGGATTTTCGCTTCATTAAATCCTCCACATACACACCTCACGACACTTTGTAGCTGTACATTAGGGACATCTTCTGTATTTTTATGTTTTTATTCATGATGACATGTTCTCAATGCGTAACTGCAAGTATTATGACCAACTGAGTGGTCGCTCAGTTGGTATTTAAATTGGATAGTTCTAGAAGAGATGTGGTTTTGATCCCCACCATTGGCTCCCACCATTTTTGGAGAAAATAAAATTTATTAATATTGCTCAAAAAGTGTTGTACTATGTCCAATAAAAAATGAATTACAGCCCCTATGGGACACAGAAGCGAGCCAAGCCTACTGGTGAGCTACTCGGGCTCAGCCGCTAAATACTTGAACTACTCAACTCGTAGTAATCTAGTTCGTGTCGAGCTTGACTCTAATTTATTTATAATCATCTTGAGTCAATCCGAACTTGAATAGCCCATAAGTATCAACTTAAAGCGAGCTCAGCTAACTACATGAAGCTTGATCAAGCTTAAGTAATATTACGAGCTTTTTATTATGGGAGAATGACCAATCAGTCCAGATCAGAATTTTATAGCTCCATAGTACAAGGGGAATGCATCCTGACTGTGAATTGATGCCAAATTCATGGGCAATATGTAGTTTATGGGGGGGAGAGGGCTACTAGTAGAGGGGCTGGAATTCAGAATTCTGCATCGGGTGTATCCGTACTTCTCTATTTTACTTTTGAGTGAAGCTCGAGCTTGAACAGCTTAATCCCTTGGATCGACTCAACTTGATTATACCTAGGAGTGATCATTCTTGGCCTGACCCGACACAGCCCAGCCCGCAAATTTTCAGTCCTAGGCCTAGGCTTTTGTGTGCAAGCCCGACCCAGCCTGAGCTTGCATCAATCCCCAAAAATTTTGGGCCGGGCTTGGGCCCAACACTTCAACCCTGACTCAAACCCAGCCTGGCCAGCAATATATATCATAACATTATATTATATGTACTATATATATGCAAGTATATTTTATTTTACTATTTTATATAAGATATAAAAAAATTTAAGTTTAACATATAAATAAATATTAATTAGTTGACACATGTAAATACATGTGTGAACACTTGAGCCAATAAAACTCAATGGTAATACTTATTATTTAGTGTTGTTCCAAGTCCGACATTGCTCAAGATTGGAAATGGAGGCCTTGACTTCATTTATAAAAGGATAGGTAAATCAAGCCAAACCAACTCTAAGAGTTATATGAGGCCAATGCCTTTTTTGTGCATAGGTCCAAAGATTAATCAAACCCAAAGAACTTATCCCATATTTTTTTTACATATGTTATATTTTATTTAATTTAATTTAAAGGGAAAATTTTAAATAATTAAATTTTTATTATTTGATTTCATAGACCCGAAAAACCCATAAGCCTGGCCTGAGTTTGAGCTCGTGTAGGGATGATCTTAGGCTTGCATGCTAGGCTCCCAATGCAGGCCAGGCCGGGTCCGGGCCTAGATAAAAATCCGCCCCTGCCATGATACCCCAAGGTGAAAGGGCTGTGAGAACGGTATGAGATATGGACGAAATCCAAAAAATTACTCAAAAGAGTCCACCTCTTAATTATTAAATAGTGATTGCATCGACTCCCTACTCACGCCCCACAGAACATCCCAGCCGTGCATGATAACATCTACCCAAATACGGGAGATGTTCCCAATACACTACGCTGTGCTGCACACGTGGGATGCGTTCATGGTGAGCGACACGAGCAAAACTAGGGTTTGTTGTGACTTTTTTTTTTGACAAGTAGGGTTTGTTGAGACTTGGGAGTGGTCCTTAAGTGGGTCTTAGCCTCTTAGGAGCATCACTTATACAGGGCCAAACCAAAATCAATCTTGCTAGAATGCAGACAAAATCGATTAGGTTGTGTTTGATTGAGGGTAATTGTAGATACAATTTCATTTACATTGATGCAAAGGTATGAGAGTATAAATGGTTTGAGTGCAAATTCTGATTGATCTTTATTTCAATTTTCACCTCATTAATATGATTGCAGTGCAGAAGAAGTTAAGTAAAATCTGAAGCAGAGTAAAGTGAAACCCCAAACAAAAATGAAAAGTAAACCAGATCATTTACACTCTCATACATCTGTAGTGGTACAAATGAAATTACAGTGCAAACTGCTTCTCTCATACATCTGTTATTTGAAATGTCCAGAAAATTAAACTAGATAGATAAGGTCCACGTAGATGAAACAACTTCCGACGATTCAAAAGCCAAAACGACAGAAAAGTCTTCACTAACAACTAATCAATCAAGATACTAAAAAACAAACGTCTCCATCGTCCCCACCTCTGCCGCTGCAAACTTACTACAAAGTCTTCACTAACAACTAATCAATCAAGATACTAAAAAACAAACGTCTCCATCGTCCCCACCTGCCGCTGCAAACTTACTACCAACACTCGTACAACTTGACATCGACCCGGAGACGGAAATACACCTCTCCCTCGAAGGCATCCGTCATCACGGTGGCTATCCCCCTCGCCATGAAGAAGTCTCCGGTGCCACCAATAACCGAAATGTCTCTGGTCTTGTTCATCAGCGGGTCAGCTCCTGCAAAATTTAGGGTCCCCTTGTAGTCTGTAGTGTTGAGAACAAAGGAGAAGGCCAGCCAAGCAGTGAAGATTTCCTTCTTGTCATAGAGGTAGAACCCTTGTGCACGACCGACGGGCTGTGAATGAAGATTGTTGTCCAAGGTGATGGGGTCGTCGAATATAACCAAGTCTCCGAAATGGTTCTGTCCTGCCAAAATCGTCTTATTCCCCCAGGCTGGCGCCCCTACTATGGCTGAAGTGGCGTTCTTGGCGTTCTTCCCATTGTAAATTATATCATGGAAGTACAGCACCAACTGCTTACATGGTTGGCGACCTCTCATCCTCCGGCCAGGCGCGGCGGATGTGCACCCAGTGACACAGAGGAAGAGGAAGACGAGAACTGAGACAACCTTCATAACTCCCATTAATTTGCTATTGGCGCACTCTTAATTATAGAGAGAGAGAGAGAGAGAGAGAGAGAGAGAGAAGTTAAAAGGATAAGAGAGAAGCAATTAATGCAGCAAAACACAAGTCTTTAGTTTTTCCATACCCAATCTCATTCTCATATATAGAGATTGAAAGGAGTGTACCAAGCTTTTTACTGCATGCACTAAAGCTGTTGAATTGAATCTTGACTTTTAAGCAATCTTTTGTTTTAAGTTTCAAAAGTTTAGATAGTTTGCTTCCATCCTACTTCTTGCTTGAATCATTCGCCTAACAAGGGACGGCGACCTAAGGCTGCCACGCCGACACACCTATATCATCAACACTGTACTGGTCCCAAGTGTGGGTGGGTACCCATCAGATCTCCCGTCCTGATCCTTCCGGCTAGAACGATTAACCCATTAATTAGCTACCCCATCTATCCAGTTTTGATCGAGTTGTTGTGAGTTTACCATTACTATCTCGGATGAATGAATTGTTGTCCGAGACTGAGAGCTTCTATTGCCGGCCGGCTGTTAATTAACGTCTAATCTTGACAACAATAATTAACAGTTGGGACGGCAGCTTTGGTTGGTTAAACTTAGACAGTCACAGACGTCTATGTGATGTAGCTAGCACGGTAATTAATGGCCGACGCCGAGAAGTGAAAGATCCATGCGCTACTTTTTTAATGAGAAGATGTGTTAACAAACTTGGTAGTATATTAATTAGATCTGTTGTCGCATGCGAGTTGTATATGGACGTACGTGTAAAATGAAAGCTAAGTTCCAACAAAAATCGGTTAAATGGATATAGCATTGTGGATTAACTTCGATCTTCAATATCCTTGTTGATGCCTTGGTGCTTTCAAAATGGTTGTTGTAAACTTTTACCTTAGACTCTTTGGTATCATTCAGGAGATGAAGACATGTCTCTTTCTGACATGTTCCATGAAATGCAACATCTGTCCTCTCCATTAATTCAAGGAGAAGACCTACCTGTCTTTATCTCCTGTTTGATACCGGAGAGTGACATTATGGAGCAATTTTATTAGAGATTACAGATTTTCTTATCTCTGCTTCAACACTTTTTTAATGGTAGCAGAAGTAGAAGCGACCATGAAAAATTACTTTATTGAGTTGAATTTGGTTTACTCATTGGGTTCGGATCCAGTTCAGTGAGAGTCACGAACAAAACACCTCACCTAACTATGACGAAGGAAAGTTATTTAAGTGGGTGTTTGGCATAGATGCCGTTTTCTAGAAAACAGCATCACGTATGTGTCACATCAGCTTATGGCCTCTTGTTTGGTACCGTTTTTTCAAAAAAAATGTTGTTTCAGACCACACCTTAAAAATGGAAAAAGTGTGCTATGAAGAAACGAAAAATTTAATATGTTTTCAGAAAACAGCTCACTGCTGCCAGTAGTGTGATGATGTAGCATCATTTTGGAGGTTGGATAATATAGATCAATACTGAAAATGGTTTTACAGCACTGGTATCAAACAAAACCAGTGCTATTTTCCTGAAAAACAGCCTATGTGGCAGTACCATTCCTAAACAAAAAATAAGTAAAAAAGGATGCTAAGAACTTGACATACCCAACACCATTTTTGAAAGAAAATGGTGTTGTGTTTCCAACACCGATGCCAAACACCTACTAAAATCTCCTCTGATGAGTTTTTTAACAGATTAGTTCATGACAAAACTTATTTGGATGGTCAAGGTTTATTTATTACCCCAGAAGGTGATTCGGTTTATGTAAGTGGGCTTCATTGTTCACTTCATTGAGTGAACAATAAAGGCTAAGTTGGAGTTAAACTCAAACCTTCACCATTAATTAGAAGCACCGTACTAATTAAGGAAGGGGGGGGGGGGTATTTGCATATAATTTGTTTGAAAAGGGAAGGGAGGTTTTTAGTTTTACAGAGGTCAAAGTAAGGGATGTTTAAGTATTTGTCAAAAAATATAGAGATGTTTAAGTAATTTTCCCTATAAACACCATAATTAATTAAAGGGTCATTCACAAAAGTATCCCCTATAGTTTCACATATTTATTAAAACCTGCTTATAGTTTATGTTTTACTAAATCATTTAATCCACATTTTTTGTTAGGAACCATTTGTATTGCCACCCAGAAATGGTCATCTTGTTGGGACCACTAGCCTTACCCAAGAGGCGGTGAACTGGGTAGACCCAAAAAACAAAAAACCCCTTAATTGAATGTCTTTGAATTGAAATATGAATTCTTAGATCCTTAACAAGCACGTTAAGCTCAAAACCCTTCTCTTCAAATTGAAGCCGAGCCTTCTTGACAATAAAAATCAAGATGCAACAAATGATTAGGCTTAGTTAGTTTGGTTGAACAGTAAATCAAGAAGTTACTCTTAAATAAACCTTAACTTCTGAACTAAAAACCTACATGTACAAAACAAACAAATAATATAGTAGCAGGAGCTGTAAGGGTTAGTAGTTAATAAGAACAATAATAATGATGACTGCTAACAAATTGATGGCAACTGAAAGATAAATATAATAGTTAAGAACTGCAACTTGCTAAGCCACAAAATATAAACAATGAAAGTAAATAACTATAAGAATGCTAAAGGAGTAGCTAAAAGTAAATGAACAATAAATTCAAATGGCAGTTGCCCTGGTGGTGTGTGCCTTAATTACTGAAGAGAGAGGAACAACCACAATTAGTAGTAGGGAGAAGGACCTACTATAAGAAGATAGCTGAGAAAGAAGTTTGGGAGATCCAAATTCATCCAAATATTTCTAGTATTTTAAGAACATGGCATTTATTTGATTAAGCTACGCTTATTGCTTGAGCCATGTGGTGAGGAGTGCGGACTCATTCATACGTTTTCTTTTAATTCAGACCGTCATACGCTACCTTTAATGGAGGAACTGTACCCAGTTTGATCATCGAAATACTTGGACCAAAGCATGACACCTCCATACTTGGGAGATCCCTTAATCACTGGAAGGATTTCAGAGGTTAACACATTCGCAGGGATGAAACCACTCCCAGCCGCCCGAGGGGACGCCGGCAATCCTATGAAGATCTTCTTCGCCGGGATGCTTGAAGTCCACCGGTTCCAAGACGTCTTTAGGCTGTCGGTGTTACCGGAGCTGTACTGGCAAGGCCGATTGTTATAGAATTGAACCCAGACATAATCAAACAGCCCGGAATTCATAGCACCGTTGAGATACCTATCGGGAAAAGGGCACTGAGGAGCAGCTGTCAGATATACCTTCCTCCCTCTATCGCTGTACTCAGACAGGTACCTAGCCAGATCGTCCCAGTGTTCAGTCTTTCCTCCCTCGATGTCGAAATCTATGCCATCCAAGACTGCATCACCGAGAGGGCGGGATGCCGATTGACCCCCTAGGAAGTTATTCCACAGGTACTCTGCTACCTGCCTCGCGTCGTCCGACGAGGAGAGTGAGTAGCTTCCGATGCCACCGCCTAAGGAGAGCATCACCTTGATGCCTTGGCTCTGGCAGTTTCTTATGCCATTGCTGACTCTTTTGCAACCCCCGGTGAATGGGTTGCAGTGACCGGCGAGGTTGATCTCCGGTGTCTGACCGTTTCCAAATTTGTTGAGGAAAGCTATGTTTACGTATGCATACCTACCAGTCGCACACGTTTCTGTTAAGGTCCCCTCGTTCCCGTTCTGGCCCCAGTAGATGGCTATTCCACCGGCACTCGACCTTGCAACCAGAGCGAGAACTAAGAGAGTTAAGAACAGAGACGATGATGATGCTTTAGGCGCCATTGATTTGATCTAAGGGAGTCTTCTTCAGAAGGAAAATTTTCTTTCTGTGGTTGGCGAAGTCAAGGGAGTCGTCTCATTTTTATAAAGAAAGAATACGGATGCCTTCCTTCTTCGCTTTAAGAAACTCGACACTCGACGAGGCGACCATAGTACTGGAGGAAAAAGTCCGGAAGGAACATCGGTGAATTACAGAAACGAATCAACAATTTTTGTTTATATTCTTATCTTGGCTCGCCTTTCCAAGCACCGATTAAGTTGTACATCTACGTCACAGCTTGGAAAAAAATTTGGGTTTCTGGCCGATAAGGTCAACTTTTTGTGCTTAATATCAATAAAAATAATATTTTTTATATAATAATTAAATTGAGATACCTTATTGAAAAAATTTCAAATAAGGGCATTGGATACTGTTTACTCGTCTTCCTCCTCCCTGTGTTCATGCGAGAACGTCTTCCTCCTCTCTGTATTGCAGCGAGCTGCCGGAAAAATGATTATTTTCTGCGACCATTAAACTGAACCGGAAAAATGAGTCGGAAACTGAATGATTCTTTTTGCATATAACTATTTTAGCCATTGAAGAAAGCGGTAACTCATTCAGTTTCAGGTTCAGCCACTTCACTTCAGATTCAGTCCACCCCTTTTTCTAGCAGGTCCGGACTGTGGTAATATCAAGACAAATTAGCTAGAAGGCCAGAACCCCATCAACTGTCAAGAAGAAAAATAAATAAATAAATAAGAAAGCAAAACTTGTCAGCGTCTCTGGTAAATCTGGGTGTCTCTAAATATTATCAGCTAAATCTTAGCTTGAAGGACATTAGATAAGAAAGCAAAACTTGTCATCTCCGGTAATATCAAGAGATTCGTTTATTTATTTTTGGAGGTCACGGACTCACAGAGGACGAGGCTCAGTGACTCGTTGAACTTCCGTTTTGAAGAGAAGAAAGCAAAACTTGTTGATTGAAAAGTAGAGGAACCCTTCTCGCGAGTGGGGTGGGGTTAGGCTGTGAGCTGTTTGAGGCGGCATCAATAAGTGCTTTGGCCTGTCAGAACGCTCTCTCTTGCATGGCTGCCGACATATCGGCCGATTTCAGCCGTATATTTAGTTCCAGCGATCGCTGCCTCTGGAGGCATACGGTAGAGTACATTCCTCATGTTTTTTCTTTCCATCTTCGACTTTTATGTTCTGCAGCAATTTTCTCCAAGAGAGAGAAGTCGGTAGCTGAATTCTAGAAGTTGGTTTCTATGAACTTTCCGTCTTCGATTTTCGGTCTCTTTGCAAAAGCTCGTTTCTGGTGAAAGTTACGTTCGAATGAGGAAGACGAGCAATACTACCCAATGCCCTTATTTGAAAATTTTTTTCCAAAAGCTATCTTATTTTAGTTATTATATAAAAAATATTATTTTTATTGATATTAAGTTGCCCTTTTCGGTTAGAATCCCAAAAATTTTTGACTTTTCAGTTTGGAAGAGCATAAATACAAATATTTTAATTTGCACTGTATATATTAAAAGTTAGTTTGAGAAAAGTGCAATACAATTATGTATACCATATTTTCAAATTTTGTATTTGCAATGCAGGTATTTCTATTTGTACTCTTCCAATCTCCATTGATATGTCTACCAAAAAATTGTAAATTAAATTTATCTATATAAGTTTTGAGTTTGGGGTCGGCTCGATTAGGCTCATGTTCGAATTTGGTTGGATTTAAGTAAATCTAACTTTATACTACAAATTAAATTAATTTGGTGATACTATAATATTGGCTAGTTTCGATTTTTGATTGGTTAATTCTTTATTTTTTATATTTATAATATGTATGTATAATAATATATATATATATATATATATATGTATCAATCAATTAATCGTATTTTTGGTTCAGTTTTCTCAATTCAGTTTGACTTTCAACTTTTCAATTTTTTTTTATGAACGCCCCCTCCTGACTCAATTGGCAATTAATCGAGCCGAAAATCATTCGGACTGAACAATATTTTGTCAACTGAAATCGAATGACTAGCGTATTACTTGATTGATGTCTAAGTCCGGATCTCCTGCACAATCTTCCTTTGAGAGCTTTTTATACATCAAATTAAAGTGTCATGCAGCGAGTTTCAAACATCCTCCGATTCTGTTTTTAATATATTAAAATTTTAAAATAAATAAAAAATATATAAATTAGGGTTTCTACGAGGCAAAAATTTGACTCTGTGACATCTAGAGTCACTTCTACAAGGCAAAAATTTGCTACAATGGATGAAAAATTTTACATTCTAAATGCCAAGCTAGAAACCTTTCTTCCACCAAACTCTTAATCCATCTTCGCAATTTCACCAGCTATGTAACAGCCATTTCAGCTTGAAGTTACCCTTAAGATTCCTACTCATAAGGGGTCTAGTTGAACTGTTGAAGAGTATATGACAAAGAAAAAAGGTTCAACTTGTGTTTATCATAAGTGATAAATAAAGTAGTTATTATTCTATTAATAATCAATAAAGTAGCTTGATGATGTACAATCTGGCCGGTCTTAACTGTCGATGATCTTGCTTCTGAATTGAGTAACAGGGACCTGAAACGGAAGGAGAAGAGAAGCTCCGGGGAGAACCCGGCGTAAGGGCTCCGAAGCTCAAGTTAGAATCCTTCAAAGGCAAGATAAACCAGATAGCGCAAAAGTTAGCATACCTCGTTCCTGGGGGGTAGAAGCCTTTTA